CCCTTCCTTCACCGCTCAGCCTGATCTCCTTCGACCGGACTTGGGAAGTGTAAGTAGAAGAGGGAGTAGACCCGGGCTGGTCTCTTACCCCCACCCCCACCGCCCCTCCCCCAACTGGGGGAAAGGCAGAGGAAGTTGGAAAGGATGGCGGAAAGGCAGATTCCAAAAAAGGGGAGAGGTGGCTGGTGTTCCTCTCCCTCCCTGCTCTCTGCTCCCTGCTGGGGAGGGGAGCTGGCTGGGGCGGCGGCTGCTCGGTTCATTCCAGCTCCCTCCCTCGGCTCCTGTTTACTTACAGTCAGCCTGCCCCGTCCCCAGCTCAGTTCTGAGCTCCTCTTTCCGCCCCTCACGTTCCTCCTTCGCAGCCTCATTCAGTTGTGCTTTGCCGCTGTTTCCCTTAATCCCGGCTCCACATTTCCTCAATCTTCTTGCTCTCCCCGCATCTGCACACCCACACCTGTCTCTGACTGTGCTTGGAATCAGGCAGTGACAGGTGTGTCCACCTGTCCCGCTCTCCCTGCTCACTCTGTCCCCTTTCTCTTGCCTGGACGCTCTTCCTGCGCCTTCTTTCCCCCCAGTGTCTGCACTCAGAGCCCTGCCTGTCGTCTCTTGTTCTCTAATCAGCTTTAACTTGGGTTCTGCTTTGGCCTGAAGATTCCAATTAGGACTGAGTGTAATGGGCGGGTTTCCAGTATCCCGGCTGTCTGACCTGAGTGATTCAGGAACTCCTTATTTGAAGTCCGAGGTTTAAATCCAGGCTGGGATTTGAACTGAGCTGGAATACTTGACTTCGTATTTTGAGCTCGCATGAGGAGCTTGGGGTGTGACGATTTTGCTGAGGACATAATGTTTGCATCCCAGAATCACCCACTAGGTCTGCTGTTCTCTGGGGAAGACAGATTAGGAGGCAATGAAAAGTGAACAGCGAAGGGCCTGATGCTTGGCAGAGATGCTAAGTTCTGGGTGTGTGTGTGTGTGTGTGTGTGTGTGTGTGTATGGGGTTGGAGGTGGGGTCTGGGAGATCCCAGATGGCTCAGAGAAGGGGTAACAGTCATTTCTCTGGTTCTAAGGCTGACAAGCCAAAGGGCCCTCATGGGAGGGGCAGGGAGTCGGCTTTCAAAGCGACTGCAAACAGATTGCACACTTCACTTCCTTTCTGGGATCACAGTTTAAAAGCCATGATTACTTTTTGAGCAGTCGGCGGCGTCTCGTCTTCCCTGTAATACACTGATTTTAGAGAAGGGGACTGTGGGGAGAAGGGAGGGGTAGGGGAATCCCCTGGCTAGGGGCCTGCCCACAGAGCTCCCTTTGTGGTTGCTATGGAAACGGGCATAATAGGAACAAAACAGAGGCACGTCGCCTGGCAACCGAGGAGCCCAAGGTTTATCACACACTATGTGTACACATCAGGGAACCCCTCTGGGGGGAGGAAACAAAACTTCTGGGGAAGCTGGGGTATCCCAGTGATGACGAGTCCTAGAACTCACCTAGCTCTGCCAATGAATCTGTGGGACTGTGGTGTGGGATGCCTCTGAAAAGTGAGGGAGTGTCAGCGAGAGGGCCCAAGTCCTCCTTGATCCCCGGGGAGCCCTTCTTTCGACAGATGAATCTTAAACCTTCCAGAATATGCAGGCTTTTCTTTGCAAACCGTGGGAATCCTTGTAACTAAAAAAAGGGCGTGTGTATCTGTGTGTGTGGGGGTGGATAAGGGGTGAGGTATCCGTAAAAGACGTGGCAGAAAAGATAATGTCCGATTTTCCCAACGCGTAGGACCTGCAGGGAACTCAGAATACATTTCCTTCAGGACGGAGCACCTTGAGGGCAGGGAATGCAACTGGTCAAGTTCTCCATTCCCTGCCCCTGGACTCATGTTGGACACAGAGTAATTGTGTAGCTGCATGAGAGGTCGGTGAGTGGGGTAATTGCTCCCTGGAGGCTGACAGTGAAGGGAAGTGTGGGGTTCAGGAGGCTGTTGTGAAAAGAACAAGCGCTCTGGGCCCAGTTGTACCTGTAGTTCATTCGGTCGTTCGTTCGTTCATTCATTCATTCATTCATTCATTCATTCCACAGTGTCCTTCATTGATTGCTGTATGACAGCCACTGCTCTAGGCACAGGGCAGACAGCAAAGAACAAAAAATTCCCTGCCTTCATGGAACTTACATGCCAGTGGCAGTTTTGACTCTTGGTTCTGAGAGCTGTGTGGCTTTAGGTAAATCACTAACCCACTCAGACCATTCCTCCCAGAGCATGTGAGGATTAAATGAGCTAATATATGATAGTGCCTGCTGTGGTATTAGACACGATCACCATTAGAGTAGCTTTGGTTGGGGGGGAGGTGGTGAGAGATGGTGGGCTACAGCAGTGGGCAGAAGGAGAAGGCTTGGCAGAGATTTCCAAAAGAGTGTGCGTCTCCAATCACACCATCGAAAATCGTTGAACATAGTCCCTTCCCCTGGGACTGGCCTAGGAAACCCCAGCTCTAGCAGGCACGATCTAGCAGCTTTGGGGCAAGGGTCTGGGCTACCCCATTCTCTACACTCCTCGCTTGGAGGAGCAGGGCAAGAGCCAGTCCCCAGGACCCCCCCCCTCCCCCCCGCAGGGATTTTGAAACCCTATCTCTGTTTTTTTTCTTTTAAATGTTTTATTTATTTCTGAGAGAGAGAGAGAGACAGCATGAGCAGGGGAGGGTAGAGAGAGAGGAGACACAGAATCAGAAGCAGGCTCCAGGCTCTGAGCTAGCTGTCTACACAGAGCCCGACACGGGGCTCGAACCCACAAACCGTGTGGTCAAGACCTGAGCCGAAGTCAGACGCTTAGCCGACTGAGCCACCCAGGTGCCCCTTGACACCCTATCTCTGAATGCAATACCTGGACAGTAAACCTCTGCTCTATAGCCGCTCAAAACCCAGCCCTTCCTGCCTTCTTCTCTGTTGACCAAGAGGGTGGCTAGAACGAACAATGGAGCAGATATGTTGGCCTGGAGCCCAGGACACTAGCCTCTGCTCTTTCACTCCTGGGGGGCTGCCGGAGCCCAGGCTGCAGCGAGGGGACCACACCGGCACCCTACCCCCCCCCCCCCCCCCCCCCCCCCCCCGCACTGTTCCTTTCCTGCTCCTGCCCCTCCCTCCAAACTTCCAAGGCCCTTCTGCAGATGCCCCATAGTCTTTGTGGCAAATCAACTGAGCTACCTTTCTGAAAACCGAGATAAATCCACTCCCATTCAAATATGTCCTGGGAAAACTTGCACTTTCAAGGAACCAGATGATTCACTTCATAAGGTTAAAAAATCCTTTGGTTCACTGTTAACAGTGGTTACTTTTTGGGAGAGGGCCTGGGTAGGGGAGGAGGGAGATGTTTACTTTTTATTGTCCTACCTTTCTGTGTTGTTTACATTCCTCACCAGATGGAGGCATTGATTTTATTTAAAATGTCAACAAGGATTATCTGACCTGGAGCTTTACGGGCCACTTTATCTGTATTCTTGGCCCATTTCTGAAAAGCCGAATAAATGTTACTGAAAATGAAATAAGAATTAAAAGCTGTTGGTCAAGGAAGTAAGTAGCTCTTGGCTTTTGTGTTTTAAAACCATCCCAAAGTTGAAAAGTTTATTTATTTATATATAAATATTTATTTAATATATAAATATTTATTTAATATATAAATATTTATTTAATATATAAATATTTATTTATATATTTATTACACATTTATATATATCTATTTTAATAAGGCAGGTTTGGGCCCCTGGGTAGCTCAGTGGGTTGAGTGTCCAGCTTTGGCTCAGGTCATGATCACAGGGTTCGTGAATTTGACAACCCCATCCACTGGGCTTGCTGTTGTCAGTGTAGGACCCGTTTTGGGTCTTCTGCCCCTCTCTGTCTCTCCCCCACTCATGCTCTCTCAAGAATAAACATTTAAATAAGGCAGGTTCTAGAAAAGAGGCACAGAACAAAATGGAGGAGGTGCTTCTTTAGAAAGCCTGGGTCTGTGGCTGTGTTTGTGATGTGTATAGTAGGACTGCCTCTGCCATGGGTTTGAGTCCCTATCTAGGTGCCTGTGTATGTGTATGTGAGAGAGAGAGGGAATGCGCATGCAGACACGAGCAAGTGAGAGACGGTAGACACAGAGAGACACAGAGACATAGAGAGAATGCTAGTGCCCAAGTCTCTGCTTTGTCTGTCTTTACATGTCTATGCCTGTCTGAACGTCTCCACATGTGTCTCCACCTTTCTGTGTCCATTGTATGAGTCTGCACAGCTATGGCTCCTTTACTGTGTCTTCCCTCCCCCACGGCCTGTACCCTGTCCTGGTAACTGGACCTGGGACACAGCCCCCAGGGCTGGCAGCAGAGTTGGCTGCTGGGTATTTTTAGCCTGTAAACATGTTTGCCATTTCAGAGGACAGGACCGCAGGTCTCAGCCCCAGCCCACTCATGATCTTGCAGCAGGAGAGAGAGCTCCTGCCTGGAGCCGGGTCTTCTCGGGGACCCCAGGGCCGGAGGGGCGGGGAGGAAGGGGGAGTGTCTCCCTTCTTCAGCATTTGGGAAGGAAGGAAAGCTGCCTTGAGGCGGGTAGTGGGTGGCCGTCTAGGAGGGAGGATAAGCTGATTCGTCGGGGAGGGGGGAGAAGAGAATGGGAGTGTGGAAGGGGACTGCGTAGCCAGAAGGCCCCCCTGCACCCCATCATTAAGCGGTTAATAAAATCTCCTGGAGTTTAGAAGTGGCTGTGGGAAATGGCAGTAAATCTGGAAACAGCGTCCTTGCAAGTGGGGAGGTGGGGGAGGGACTTGGATAAGAGATGGTAGGTAGAGGAAAGGCGGGCGCTCCGGATTGCGGGGAGTCTGCAGAAGAAGGGGGGGAGCTGCCGGCCTGACTCCCGTGTCGCTGCAGCGGCCGGAGCAGCACCGTGGTGCGTGGGGGCCTGGTAACTCCACGTGGGCACCCTAACTCCAGGGGTGGGGCCAGCGTCTTCAGACCGGTTTTGTGGGGGGGGGGGGGGGGCTGGGGCCCTCAGAAAGAGGCGAGGTGAGAAATGGGCGCGGCTGCCTGGAGCTCGGGAACCAAGTGAGGAGGCAGGGGCCTGGAATTTAAAGTGGAGGTTCCCGGGTTGGGAGAAAACTCAAAGATCCGAGCCAGGTTGGAAGTCGCGGCCGAATCGCCCCAGCCCCCCAGCCGCTCCCGCAAAATGAGCTGATTCGCAGTTCCAGCTGGGAGGATGAGCCTTGGGGAGCTTCGAGGAGGAGTTTCTGGCCGAAGAGACCACACACTGCACACGTTGAGGGTAGATCCAGGCGCGGGTCAGGGCCGGGGACACTGGATGGGGGCGGGGTAAGGCAGCCCGTTGGACGTGCGGCGGCCCCCTCGTCCCCGCAACCCCCAATGGCTCCCCCCACCTCACCCCGGCGGCCCGCTCCCGGGTCCTTGTAGGGTCTGCCCCCGCTCGCCTGTCCCAGCCCCAGTCCGGCCCCGCCCGGCCCCGCCCTCTCCCCACTGCTCCGGGCAGACCCGCCCGCTGGAGCCGGAGTTACAAGAGCCGCCTCCGCGCGCGGGGGCCCGGCCACTCGGAGCAGCTCCGCCGCGGGGACTGCACCGCCCGCCCTGCCGGACCCGCCCCGACCGGGGCTCGCCGCCTGCAGCAGCCGCCGCACCGCGACCTGGGGCCCCGCGCGGGCTATGGCTGTGCCCCGGGGCTGAGCGCGCAGGTAGGGGCACGGGGCGCACCGCTGCGCCGCGGGAACAGCACGGCGCGAACGCGCCAGGGGAGGTGGGCTGCAGGGTCTGGGCCGGGCTCTTGGGCCAGGCGCACTGCGAGGATTCAAACGGCGTGGAGCGAAGCTGGGCAGCCCCGGGGCCGCACGGGGAGGCGACGCGTCGCGCCCTGCGAGCCGAACTGTGCCTCCGGGGGTGGGGCGCGAGTTGGGCAAAGTTGGAAAATCGCTCCGAAGCGTGCTTTGCGCCAGTCCTTATTTCTCTCGAGGGCTGACTGTTGGTTCTACTGCACTTCAGGGAGCCCCGATCCTGGTCCGCGGGGGTGGCGGGGGGGGGGGCTGGTGGCCCCTGTCCCATCTCCTCCTTCTCTTTGGGGCGGTGGCTCAGCGCACTGCTCCCGCTCCTATTCCGTGTTTACTGGAGAAGTTTCCGAGGTCGCCGCCGCGGCCCCTCGGCCCCTCCCGGAGCCCCCGCGCTCCCGCGCCCCCTCCGCTGTCCCTCCCCGTTCCCTACACCTCCGCCTCAAACTTCGCGTCCGGAGTCCTCCCGGCCCCACCCAGTTCTGTACCACCGGCCTCTCCCTTTCTCAGCCCCCCTCCGGCTGCCCCGCCCTAGTCTGGCCGCTCCGCGTTCCCGGCTCCAGAAGACTCCCTTCTTCCTCCTGGGCCGCGCCGCCTGGACGTTTGCAGCGCGCCCCCCGGCGGGACGGGTGGGAGTGGGGGTGGGGGGCGTAATTAGGGAGATTCCAGCACTGGGGTGGGCGGGGAGGGGGGGCGGTAGGCGGCCCGGCCCTCGGGACCGCCCCTTCCCCTTCGGGGGCGGCGCCCTCTCCCCCACCCCACTCCCAAACTCGTCCGGGCGGGATGGCCCCCGCCCCAGCGCCTGGCTCGGCGCCAGCAGCCTGAGGAATGCGGTGGTTGGAGCCGCTGACTAATTCAAACCAGAACTCGGGGAGGAGTGGTGAGGGGCAAAGGGGAGGGGGAAGAAGGGGCTGTGTGTGGGAGATGGGGGCAGGAGCGGGGCTCCGCGTCGGAGGAGGGCTTCGCTGCCCTTCGGGACCCTCCACTCCAGCGGGGCGCTCCTGGAGAGAGGGCTGGGGGACGAGGTCCTGCCATGGAGTTGGAAAGACTGAGTGCTTAGGGTGTGTTCGGAGAGCGGTGTTATGTAAGGCTTTCCCATGCAGGGAGAGAGTGTGCAGTGTGTGAGGGCCTGGCCCTCCCCTGGCTGGGCTGGGCGCCCCCTGCAGTGCCAGGGCCGGGGATGTGGGGGCGCAGCCCTGGGCGGCGCTGGCCGCGAGGGACACGTGGGGCTGAGCAGGCTGGGCTGTGCCTCTTGCATGGGAGGGGAGCCGAGTGGGCAGATGGGGTAACTCGCGGCTCTAGCTGGGCGCCTGCACCCGGGAGGTGGCCACGGAGAATTGTGTGCGTGGTGTGTGCTCTAGCCCTCCACTGGGTGTGGCTGCAGAGAGGTGGGGGTGAGGTGCCCCAGGGAGTCTGCAGTGGCTGCTGAGAGCCCTGCTCTGTGGAGTGGATTTGTAGAAAGGCAGGGTGGGATTATCCGGTGGCAGTGGGCTCCGTAGAGAATGACCTGGCGTTTCGGAGGAGAAGCGGCTACGGTATTTACCTCCGGGTCTCCAGCACAGCGCTGGGCTCTCAATAATTGGTTTGGAAACAATTCCTTCCGTTAGAATCCAGGCTCGGGTGACAGGGATCACTTGCACCCCCTAGCACTGGTTGATGGTGCGGGACATAGGGACAGTGTGGGGCCGTAGTGGGCACCCGAGTTGGGGGGAAAGAGGAAGAGATTGAAGATGCCTTGGAAGGCATTTTCAGGTCTCCACACCTAATGCTGCGTCTAAAGTAGGGAAGCAGAATCCGCTTGCTTTTCCCTCTCTTCCTCTGCCCCCCCAGGAGGGAAAACCCTGGGCCAGGGTGTGGTACTCACTTCCTTTCCGAAGCTGAATGGGGAAGCTTCCTTCTCCTTGGCTCAAAGGGATTGATGGGTTGGGCCAGCACTGGGTAGGCAGAGTGTGCAGAGTGGGGAGCACCCGGCACCCCAGGCTTAGGGGGCACCTCCCTGCTCTGAGCTGTGAGCTGTGGTTGGAAGAAGGTGCAGGTGGGGCGGGGAAGGAGAGGACCTGGGATCTTGGGAGCTGGGCTAGCAGAGGACACAGGGTCTGCAGGGTTCGACGTGGGGATTGGAGGGTGTCTAAGCCTCTCTCTAAAGCCTTGTCCTTAAGAGATTATATACAGGGACACTGGCCATTGAACAAGGACACATAGGGAGCCACGTAAGTCATGCGGGGCTTAGTGCTGCTGACATGGAGGCCCTTAGCCATGGTTCAGGGGTCCTGGTCTGGGCAGTTCCTTGAAGAGCTAGCCCCACCGAGCGGGGGACTCGTACCAGCCAGACTGGGTTCAGGGTCCTGAGGCTACAGGTTCGGGACCCACAGTGGGACACGAGAGAGTAAACCATAGGAGATTCGTCCAGGGGAGGAGGCCAGCAGTGGACAAGGGCAGGGAATGGCGTGGGGATCTCCAGGATCACTTGAACGGGGAGGCCCTGGGTGGCATTGCCAGGCTAGATTTCTTGGCTCAGCGCGGAATTGGCTGGCCGGGCCTGGTGGAGCACGCTACCCAGAGCTTGAGCAGCTGGTTTGAGAGGTTGGGGCAAAGCTGTGGGGGCGGAGGGGTGTGTGGGGCTCTGGGGTGTGGTCACTAACCTTCCTCAGAACTTGGGAACCGCCTGGGGGCAGACAGAGGCATACCAGGAGAGCTGATCCTACTCTTCATGGGAACCCTCCCGCTACAGGCTCTCCCTGCCCCCCCCTCCCCAGCGCCCCCAAGTTTCTCTCCCTGGGGCAGGGCTCACCGTAGGCCTGTGCACGTGCCCTGTGCCTGCAAGGAGAGGAAGAGGAGAGGAAGGGAGGTGGCTGCTGGGGAGGGTTTCGAATGTGCTGGTTTCAGTCGGGCGGGCGGTGGCCAATGTCTAGGGCCTTTGGCTCTCTTTTTGTCCCCTGTGGGCTTCATCCAGACTCCTGGGGAGCTGGCATGTCCCTGGTCTCGGACCATCCCTGCTGGGCTCCCAGGCCTTCCAGAACAAGCCTTTCAAGTTTCTTCCCTGCGTGGCGTGGGGGGCTGTGTGGATGGGCCACAGTGGGGCTCGCAGGAATGAGTATGCACACAGGGGTTTTGACAGAGCCCCTCTTCCTCACCCTTGCCTCAGTTGCCACCTGGGGGACCGCTGGGTTGTTGTAGCTGGAGGCCTTGCGCCCCGGTGACCATCAGTGTCCTAGCGGGGAGGTGTGTGTTATTACCTGTGAGCAGATGGCCCTCTGGCTGTGATGGTGGTCCTGGATGGGTCACTCTGCTCGCATCTGGGGCTTATAGGGCAGGGGACAGCAGTGGGACTCTGCCTGGGTGCTGGAGGTTTCGTAGGGGTGGGCGGGGCTGCAGATAAGCACTGGAGTCCGTTTCTCCATCCTGGACAGGTTCTGGGCCCCGGAGTTTGTGTCCGGAGGCCCTCGGGAGGGTGAGGACAGCCCTGGGAGTGAGGCGATGGCTGAGTGATGCCGGACGAGGAGGCGCTGCACACGGCTGGTCAGGGAGGGGCATCCTGCCCTGTCCCTGGGGGCCAGAGCGGAGGTTCTAGGGGAAGGGGAAGTGCCTGGAGCTGATCACGGCTTCGGCTTCGCGTCCTGGCTGGGCTGGGGGGCGGCTCTTTGGCCGCTGAGCCCCTGCACTAGCGTGGCCTGGCCGCTGGGCGGAGAGCTCGCCTGTGGTCCGGGAGTTTCTGCCCCCTCCCGCCTGTAACCTTCCCCCAGGGTGAGATGGAGTGTTCTTCACCACCCCTGCTCCGTGGAGGGTGCCACCCTCGGGGTTGGTGTCTTAGTCCCAGTGGTCCTGGGTCAAGGCTCTTTCTTCCCTGGCTCTGTGGCCAGTCGCGGGCACTTCGGCTGGATAATGTGCTGCTGGCCCCAGGCCTATCACAAGGAGGAGGAGAGTCTCTGGGTCAGGGGAGGAAGAGGGACTCTCCCTCCCTGCTGAAAGTGAGAACTTGGAGCTCACTGGGGGGGTGGGCGGGTGGGAGGAAGCAGCGCACGGATGGCCACAGGAGGGAGGTGGAGAAAGGTATCATGGAGGAAGCCAGTGGGCAGCTGGCTGGTGGACTAGGAGTGGGGATGCCCTGGAAGTGGAGGTGCAGAACCCGGTCCCCCCACCCCCCCCATGGTGGTGAGGGGTTGATGGGGAGGAGAGGGCTGGGGAGAGGAGGTTGGAGGAACTTCCTCCTGGTGGGAGTCGTGGGCTGGGCTAGTGGCCCAGAGAGCAAGGGAGCAAGAAGATGGGCAGGGGCACCCAGGTAGAGGGAGACAGACTCCCGGGCACCAGGGTAACAGGTGTAGATGCCCTCCGTGATGGGCAGGGCCCGGGGCTGTCCAGACCAGGTGTCTGCTGGGACAGGGTGAAGGCGGAGGTTGTGGCCGCGCTCAGGGCTGTGAAGGGTGGAGGACGGGGCTGATGAGCGTCTGTGCGCACGCGCTGTGTGTGTGTCCTGGATTGTCTTTCTCCGAATGGCTCTACACACGTGGCAGCTGCATACCGGGAGGCCCATTTGGAGGCTTGGGCCCCGGAAGAGATGCCACCCTTGTTTTTCCTTGTTCCTCTGGGATGAGGGTCCGCGTGCTGTGTCTGTTCCCAGTGAGTGGAAATACTCGCCTTACCCTACTGGTGCCTTTCTCTGAAGTGGTTCTTATGTCCCTTAAGCACCAGAGGGGACAAGTCTGTTGGTCTTCGCTTGCTGCGGCCCCGGGAGAATCTGTGTCGCTCAAGACTGCTGGCTCCTGGGGACATGGCCTCAACAAGCCCTGGAGCCAAAAGGCCCCTCAGATCCTGGGCTCCAGGATGCCTCGGCCTCTGCCCATCTGGGTTTGCTGTCCCTGAGCTGTGGGCCAGGAAGTGGCCGGTGTGTCCTCCCTCCTGTGCTTCTGGCCCTT